TTGAATTGAATTGAATTGAATGGAATTGAATTGAATTGAATTATCAAAGACCCTTGATTCTGCCCAGCACCTGACTCTCTGGGAACCACAAAATCCCAACATGACCAACTGTCTCAGTAGCAGTTCTGCAGAAAAGGACCTGGGGATTACAGTGGATGAGAAGCTGGATATTAGTCAACAGTGTGCCCTTGCAGCCAAGAAGGCTAATGGCATATTAGGATGCATTAAGAGGAGCATTGCCAGTAGATCCAGAGGTGTGATTATTCCTCTTTATTCCGCTGTGGTGAGGCCACATCTGGAGTATTGTGTCCAGTTCTGGGTCCCCAATTACAGGAAGGATGTGGATGCATTGGAGAGGGTCCAGTGGAGGGTGACCAAAATGATTAGGGGGTTGGAGCATATGACTTACGAGGAGAGGCTGAGGGAGTTGGGTCTATTTAGTCTGCAAAAGAGAAGAGTGAGGGGGGATTTTATAGCAGCCTTAAACTTCCTTAAGGAAGGTTCCAAACAGGCTAGAGAAAGGCTGTTCACAGTAGTGATGGATGGCAGAACAAGGAACAATGATCTCAAGTTGTGGTGGGAGAGGTCCAGGTTGAATATTAGGAAAAACTATTTCACTAGGAGGGTGGTGAAGCACTGGAATGGGAAGTAGGGAAGTAGTGGAGTCTCCATCCCTAGAAGTGTTTAAGTCTCGGCTTGACAAAGCCCTGGCTGGGTTGATTTAATTGGGATTGGCCCTGCTTTGGGCAGGGGGCTGGACTTGATGACCTTCTGAGGTCTCTTCCAGCTCTATGGGTCTATGATTCTATTCCATGTGAAAATTAAAAGAATACTGGGTTGCAAAAAGAATGCACAAATGAAATTATATGAAAATATATAAAAATAATCCAGGATGCAGGGAAAGGCCACATGTTGAGTGTAGAACAGTTTTCTTTAAAATGCCTATCTTCAAGGACTATGATGGCTGATGGGAGGGAAAATAGATGACAGGAACTTTTACCCTTTGAGTTATTAATTTGAATCTGTCTCAGGTCTGTTACCATCTGTCTCTATTCTTTACAGAATGAGCTGGTGGTCCCTAAGCACGTGCTAACTTCATAGAACAAAAGCAGTGGTCTCATCAGCAACATTGTGGGTTGAATGGGCATCAAAACTAAAGACCGATGATTCCAGTTTTGGGCTGGAGTGGGAGGCTAGCACTGCCACTGCTGAGCTCTACTCGCTTTATGGCCAGGCAGCTGACTTCCATTCCTAGGTGGTGAGTGCTTTACAAGCACAGCATTTACTATTTGAAAATTTGCAGTGAGGGAATCTAAACAATTAAAGACTATTTTGACTGATCCTTCATTTTCACTGTAATTCCGATTGACATGGTGAGTCAAATTTAGCCTCAGTATAAGTGGACATGACTGCAGTGGAATTGAACCTTCTTAAAGCCAGAATTAATTTGGCCCAGTTATACTAACCTACAGTTCTGCCAATTTCTGTGCCTGAAATTACAAATTAGGAAGCAGACCAAGGATTGCATGTTGAGGTTTGGATTGCATGTTTAGGGTTTAGGCTGTAGGTCAGAGTTTGGGATTGAGGCTAACCAATGAGGTTCAACAGAATCAGAAGTTTTTGAGTTGTTCTTATGATATTTCCACCAACTTGCGTCACATCAAAATGGAATCCACAAAACAGGTCCCTTCTGGTTTTGGATTCAACCCAAGAGCTACTGTGAGGTGGTTTTCAAGACACATCAGTCCCTGTAAAGTTCACTGAGGTGGGCTTAGTTGGATTTTAGATTCCAGTGCAGGCTTTTCCCTAGTTTTAGAAGCTGCAAAAGGGTTATCTGGATTTTACATCCAGTCACAGGTCTGCAGCAGCTTGGATCTAAGGTTTCACTTGGGCCTAAGGTAGAGGCCATTTTTATCCCTATCAAAAAGGGGACGAATGTTTTGATCTGCTGTTGTGGCCTGGACCTGTCCGATCAGAGGAGTATTATTTATAGTAGATGTTTTCTAACCAAAGAAACAAATACCTTAAACACTAAATCTATACCAGTAGCTGCCAGGTGGTAGTGAATTGCTAGATTCCATCAGCAAAACAGGAAGGAAATGTTTTAAAGCAAGATTGTTATTTTTCTCTTGTTCTTATTGTGAAACCTTTCTGAAAGAAACTCTTAAAAACCTGGAACCTCTTCTAGGGGCACGAATAGAACCATACACATGGGAAACTCACAAGAAAGCAGTTAAAAACAAGGGAAATGTATAGTAGCAAATCACTGAAATAAAATACCCATGGCTGAGTTTCTAGTTTGGGTGCACATGAAGTGAAATACATTGAAGAATAAAAGGAAAAATAATTCCCTTAAAATAATAATTATTCCCTTAAAATAAATGGTGTTGGTTTCCCCTTTAATTGTCACAGAATTAAAGATGGCAGCTGGATTCTTCACTCTCAACGGGAAATAAGACTGAAAGCTGGAAAGGAGATAAGATAAGCAATTGTGTATTCACCTCACTGGGTTTATAAGGCTTAACTAACTAGCATTTGTAAAGAGCTTTGATATCCTTGGGTAAAAGGTACTGAATAAAGGTAACATAGCATCATCACCATTAAAAAGAATAGAATGGAACATCATGAGGAAAGTCACCTAATATGAAAATAGTCCAAGAAATTGATTTAAGTTCTCTCCAATTCAATGAAATATTTAAATATTATTCCCACAAGCCAAATTGATTACAGAGGACCAGAACTTGGTCTGCACCCATTCACAGCAGCTGAGGATTTCACCCATGCTTCAAATTTAAAGTATAAACCAGATAAGGCAAATCAAATGTATATAAAACTGAAAAGATGCACACTAGGCACAGTACTGTTGCTCTGCTCCTTCTATTTAGAAGAAGTGCAAAATAGAAGGATGAAAATTGCATTTGGAAAAAAGCAGAGAACAGCAGTAGAGTGTTTGCTCATTTTATCAGCTCCTACCTAAAATTAATCCGCTATCCCTTCATAGCACAAAGGGCTTAGAAATATACTCTGACAGGACTAATATTTCCATTGAGCCAATTAATTATATTACACAGCATTTGTGGCTTAAAATACATTAGGGGTTTTTCATACAACAGTGCAGATCTATCTCACATGAGCTGTATCAAACTTCCCTTGATGATTTTACTATAGGACTGCTGAGTTCCACTGTGATTTTTCATACATGCAAAGGCAAACCTTGCCAGCTCTATCCCATCAACCACCATAATAATTATTCCTAAGAAAATAACACACTGCTGCAAGGACCTCCTTGTATGGATACTCTCCTTTTTGTGGAGAAAAGTCAACTCTGTGGTACTGTCTCACCACACCTTGGGGAGTAGCAGGCAGGGTACTCTCCCCCGCCAACACCATGGAGCTTCCCTAGTTTTTTTCCTATAGTATCCCCTCCACAATATGAGGACCCTGACTGGAGACACAACCAATAGGAAGCCTGGTTATGCAACTCCAGTGGAGCCAAGCTGGCAGCAATAAGCGTGGAAGGCCAGCAGGTACAGAGTTGCAATAGAGGCATAGGACTTATGCACTTGTACGTGCAGGAAGTAGACGCATCTGGGTCCCAGCCACCAGTCTGTGCCTGGGAGTCCCACTGCCACTTGGGGGCACAGCCATTAGCTCCAAAGTTGTCCCAGCCACTGGCCTTCTGCTGCTCGAGGGTCCAGTCACAGGCTTTGCTGTTGGTCCTGGCCGCTGGGAGCTCCACTGCTGCCCAGGGTCCCAATGGCTCTGCTGCAGGCTTCACAGCCACCCCCCAACTATAGCCCCAGTCTGAGGCAGTAAGAGACACAAATAGGGTAAGGTCGAGGGGACTTCCACCCTAAAATTGTTCCTATACCACTGTACGCACAGATGATCCCAGGTTTCCAGTGGATCTGTTGGCATCTGCAGGATTTCTGGACAAGCTCCATGCACATGGGGATCAATAGGATACCCTAACTGAACATACTTAGAGATTACTTATCCAGAGATTGGTGGGTGAGATTCTATGGCCTGTGTGATGCAGGAGGTCAGATGAGATTATCATAATGGCCTTAAAATCTAGAACCTTAATTGCTGTGATGGAATAAATGGAGAGAAGTCATCTTTCAAGTATGTGGCTTCAGAAAATATAATGCATGCCTTTAATTGCAACGAGCACTGAAGGCAGTCTGTACAAATATCAGACAGTAGACTGTTGTTATAGCCTTTCACCTCTATTTCTGGTGGCCCATCCTTTTTTGCTGTTTCTTTGCTAAACAGCCTAGAGACAGGATCTGCCTTTACAGAAGTATATTAGGCTGATTTGTTCTTTTCAGGATTATGGGCATTTTATCTGTCTTTTAATTTGTGAAACATGCACTGTGACTGGCTGTTCTCATAAAAAACAAAATGTTTACCTTTAATGGATATGTGCTAGATGGATGACACATTCCGTTAACAAGCATATGATTCACAGTTTTCAGACTGAAGACAAAAATCCACTGTATGTAGGTGCAAATGTCCCCAGGTGAGGATACTACCATGTGTATGTATATAAAGTTTGTTAGATTTACATATGCTTCAAAATATTCATATTGCAATCTGTTTTTGCCTGAGATGATGATGATGTGTATATGTAACTCAATGTCTTAAATGCTAATGAAGGCATTCGGATATTATTGTACAAATATTGGGTAAGCAGGTGGCTCCCCTGCTCTGTTCCTCACATCACACACACTGGATATCGCCCACATGTATCCATTCTTTGGGTTTTTCCTTTAAAAACAATCCTTCCTCTGAAACTAGTCTGATTAAGATAGTGCACTGAAAACAAAAGCACTCACACTCACAAAGGTAGTGGCTAGCTAATCCATATATGTACCTGCGTTTTCAGATGGATTCATGCTTGGGGCAGCTAGCCCTCTCTGCTGCCCACAAGGCCACAGCTACACTTCTATTTTCAGTGCACCAGCTTGATGAGCTCTAGTGCAGTTATGTCTACTTGAGATGGAAATTACACTGTCTAGTTCCAGTGTAAATGTATGCTAAGTGTTTGCTTGGCTCTGTGTAGTTCACTGAGTGCACTGGGAACTTTTAATGAAAGGTAATTTCTGAATATAACTTATTATCATAGTGACTCTGTGCTGTAGGAAAGGTAAATAGGCTATGCTGTGTTTACTAGTGAGCACATTATATCCATATCAAATCCTGGATTTCTCATGAATCCCAAACTGGCTTCATTACAAGATCACAGACATAAAGTCAGCAAGTGAAATCCTAGCCCTAATGAAGTCAATGTGAACTTTGCTATTGATGTCAAAAAGAGTCAGGATTTCCCCCATAAGGCCTGGAAAAGTCAGACACCTTTCTTTTCTTAGCAATTAGGATTAAACCTTGGTGCCACAGTGAGACACTGAACTTTTGTTTTCTTGAAAAAATAACAAATCTATGAAAAACTTTTTAATCACATTTATTTAATCACATTTAAAAAAAAAGATTTATGTTATCTCAGCTTTCCAAATATATGCA